AACAACAGAGAACACAAAGTCAAGAGATGAAGAAGACATGAATATTATTGCAGATAAATATAAATAGGGTTCAGAGGATTCTTCTCTAGAACAAGAGAGATGATCTTCTCCCTTTACAAGTATCAAAATCACAATATCCAAAGGTTCTCAGGTTTCTCCTCTCTCCAAAAGCGTTCTCTGTCTAGGAAAAAATAGAATATAATATGTCTGAAGGCCACAGGCGGCTGGGGGAAGAAAATAGAAAGATTAGGGCAAATCCCGAAATTAATTAGAAGTTTCCATAATATTCGGGAGCAAAGGGGGGTTTGCTCCGCGATAGAGGGAGCAAGCAGGGGGTTGCTCCGCGATGGGTGCTCTGCGATGGAAAACTCTGGTTTTTGCATTCTTTCTTCCATATGCTCCTTCTGGTGCATTCCAACTCGTTCTACACCTGAAATAACTCAAAACACACTAAGAATACTCCAGGAAAGCACAAAAGTGATATGCAAAGTATGTATGTAATATGTCAAAAACACAACATATCAATTCCCCCAGACTTGGATCCTTGTTTGTCCTCAAACAATGTCAAGTTCCAGATCAGTGGGAAAAGTTTGAAAGTGTGGGAACTCTCTCATTTCAGCAACCATACTTTAACCACAAATCTCTGAACCAAACAAGCAGACATATTAGGACGACACACCCTTACCAGAACCCCCACTGACTGCTGTTCAAATCGGCTCCATACTCTATATCTCATACATGCAAAAGTCAAACCTTCCAGACAGAAACTCCTTATATTCATTTAAGATCAGTATGAGCTTCTTGTCATAGGCATTATTCAGGGGAAACGGGCTAGGTATGAGACAGGCTTTTTCAGTGTTTAAAGTGGAGTTAACAAGTGTGTAGGGTTTACCATGTCTTTGTAGAGGATGCAGGATATCACACAAAATTGCCAGAGAGGATGGATCCATTGATCTCCACAACCCTCACTCGTTTTCTCTGCAGAGCAATCGTCGTGGAGCACTGACTCCTCTGCTCTGTAGGTTTGCTCTCTTCCTTTCAGATCACCCCTTCTACATATTGTTTCATTTCCCACTTCAGTTCTTTGCTTCTCTGAACTACCAAGGGCAATGTTTCCGCTCTTCTCCTTCTCATCTTTTCTCAGAACTCTTGGAACATGAGTAATACTGTTTTTTTTTTTTTTTTTTTTTTTTTTTTTTTTTTTTTTTTGATTAATGAAATGACGAGTTCTGATGATGATGATGACGAGAAGGAGGTAATTACATATATTGTACCCCTGGTGGTTCTGACTTAAGCACTTCTTTCACCATTTGATCTTTT